ATGGCCGACGATAGCCTACAACGCGACAACTGACCACTGGGTATGGTCATAGAAAGCCACACGGACTCAGATGGGCTAGTAAGAACAGTGAAATTGTAAACATCTGCGGGTGAACAGGTGCGCGATATTCGACGAGTGTGTTTGTTGGAGGGAGATGACCACCATGCCGTTACTTGATGGAGTTGCAGAGACCCGCCGTGTATTATATTCACTTGCTTTCCACTTGCATCAATTGCGCCCCCAGTGATATTCACCCTACCTGTATGAACACGTGATTCCACGTCCTCGCCATACGTTCTCTCTATTCCATTCCGTGACTGAGTTTCTTTTTATCAGATTGATACACAATTAAGACATTAACTTCGAAGGTGTGACCATGTCATCACAACATCCATCAATTAACATACACACAATCACCTGCATGCTGAACATGATTTTATTTGTAATACTTGAACATCAATTACACTGCCCACATTTTCTTTCGTTGTTTACACATGGAAATTTATCTGTAATCATATTCATTTAACCCACTTCTATCAAGTTATTGTGCGACTGGCTGCAAGCATGCTGATGCAGAAGGCAGACCTCGACCAAGAAACGTGCAAGTCGTCGGAGGTCAAGATCAACAAGTGCGACGAAGGCTGAACAGTTCGCAGGTAGAAGTACTGACAGCAGGGACTAGGTTGGTAGATAGGTAGGCAAGAATCAATGACCTGCGCCAACCCTTTGACTCAGACAAGCGCAGGAAGGATTTTGGCGGCCGGTGTATTTCATGCTGAATATTTTGAAAATCCTTCCGAACCCATAATGATTTATGGTGAAATAACTTTATCTGTGTGTCGCTCCCATATTGACATTTCTCGATCACAAACACCATATATCATTATTTATCTGTTAATTCTATGCCCGGCACATTTGAATTTTGAGTGGTCACATAACGTGAGTGACTGTTTGCCTCTCTCTGGACGTCTTATTTGGCTCGCTTGTTTGAGTGCTCTCGGTCGAATATTTGAGGTTTGCTTTATTGTACATTTGTAATGATTTCGTTAATTCAGTACCGTAGAAAAATCTGCGGATCAATTGTGTTTTTACTTCGGAATTCGTATCGGTTCGGCTACGCGTCACTCAAGTCGGGATCAATTGTGTTTTTATTTCGGGATTCGTATCGGTTCGGCTACGCGTCACTCAAGTGCGAATTGGTTGACGGTACACTGCTTTCTAACGCTCCGATCCCTCTCTTGATGCCTTTTGAGATTAGAGGTAAGCATAGAACCTCTTTGGGTTCTGTTTTGCTTTTATCGCAATCCCATGCTCATATTTGTACCTGGCCCTTCGTTACATAGTTTGCTCATGGTTTCTTGCTGCCTTGCAGCTACACTATGCCTGATACGAACTGAGCCTTTTGTAAAGCGCCTACTTTCAACTCCTTGTGGCCTGAGCCCTGTCTAATTATGATTTCCACCTTGGTGGCCGTTGTTTGAGTCTCCTAGGCCTCAGGGGTGCAAACTCTTCCGTAAGTCTCAGTAAGCTATCTTCAATTGCAGTCCATCTCTCCGATGGCAGGATCATCTGCTGACGGTTCCCATCTTCAACCTAACGCTGCCTCTTGAAGGCTCTCTTCTTGTACACTTCCATACAAGCGAACCATTTTTATCCCTGGCTTAGTGTACTGTGTCAACACTTTTAATTGAAGGGCCGCATGGTCTCTTCTGCCTAGGGGGACCTCTACCCTGAGACCAACGACATCTGACCTTGCTTCAGATGTAGCTTAGTCCAGGATTGAGGGCCTCTGGCTGGAACGGAACCGAGTGAGTTCCCTTACATGCTGCACAAGCGCACGCGAATGGATACACTGGATACACTCCAGTACTGCCCACCCCGCAGTTCTTCTAGGAGCTCGTTCTTCTTCTCAAGCTATTTCAGGAAGGTTTAGATCCCCCACGATGAGAAATCTATGGCTCCTTCGAAGCACCTCTTGTAGAAAACTCATCAATTCATTATCCTCAGTGACCGTTGAGTTTGGTGACCTATAAACGTAGACAATGCCTATAGGTCCCGATCCAACCCTTAAGTGGCAAGCAGTAACCTCAATACTGGGAGTAACCAAGTGCAGTGGCCACTCCCATTGGTGAAAGTTAGTCCTCACAGCTAAGAAGACTCCACCTCCTTGTCTTCCATCTGCTCTACCCTGTATATATTCGGTATACTCCTGCAAACCCAGGACAATATCTTCACTCTTGAGCCAAATCGCAGTGACAGCAATGACATCTGCTTCTGCTGTCCTGGTTTTTAGCTCCCCCCATTTGCCCCGGTGGCTGCAGGCACATCAGTGGACCTGTGCGTCATTTTGCTCGTGTCGTTTCTTGTTGGGGTACCCTCGGGCGTAAGATCCGAGGGAGAGTCAAGTTCTTTGCTTTAAGGGAGGGTGATTCCGGAGTAACTTTCATATCCCATTTATTGCTATCATTCCTAATTCGGATGTCTTCAACGCTGAAGTCATATTTCACTCCATCTTCTGAGAGAGACGGCGACTGACCTTTTATTAGTGCATCTTGCACTGATAGCCTCAGCCTTGTTGTCGACGTATTTGCAACTACAGTTGCCCAACTGTTCGACCTAGGGCTTTGAGTGCTAAGAATGGTTTTCTTCACCGAGGCGGGTGCGATAATCGGAGCGAATTTTACCTCAGCATTTCTTATCAGAGCCTCGCGCGTGGTATTACTCTTTTCTTACAAATGAAGCCGTCGCGGCGCATCATTCATCCTAGTTTTAACGCGCTTTGTTTCTTTTGAACACTGATACCCCTTCTTTGGCTCATTGCTAATAGTGGCTCCCCTCAGTTGGCCCACCCCCGAATCTTTTGCAATTTTGGGCGTAGAGCTACCTAGCGGAGCCCGCTCTACTCTTTGTATGTGTATAGTCTTGTCTTGAAGTATTGAAGTGACTGTCGGGTTCGAGGCTGGCTCTCAATGGTTCTGAATCCTTGATGGTTTCTTGTTTTCTGTTCTTGGAAGATGCAACTGGGAGATCACAGAAAACTGGAGGGGCAATATATCTTCTTGCCCGGGGGCTATTCTGGTATCATTAATATTAAACGTAACGAGCTATAGTAAATGGACAGGCATAGAATAACTAAGAAGAGCAACAGTAAAATAAATAATAAAAAGCAAAATAATAAAAATTTGTTTTTTTGTTTTGTTGTCTTTTTTGTTTTTGAGTACATATATGAAGCTTTTCATAAAAGGACTCAGGAGGAAGCAACTAGATCTAGATGCTTATCAAGTCAAGACTTGAATGACGCTTTGCTTGTTGAAGAGGCTATCTCTTTTGGCAATGCATTCCATTGCGAAATTGCCCTGAAGGTAAAGAAGGATGTGCGAAGTGAGGTTCGGGGTTGAGGTTTGTATAGCTTTTTGCTATTGCCCCGTGTTCCACCCGTGGGGCTAAAGTGAAGAACTTTTCAACTAGGTCGGAGGAGAACAGGTGGTATAGAAGAAATAAGTCACCCCTAGTTCGCCTAATTTCCAGAGGATACAGATTAAGCTCCACTAGACGTTCAGGATAGGAAGGATATTGCATTCCAACCACCGCTTTAGTTGCCGCTCTTTGAACTCATTTGAGAGCATCACGATCACGGATCGGGCCAGAATGAACAAC